CTCTTAAGCCCTCCGGGTTTGGCTCTGCTGCCAGTGGCGGCTCTATTTTTGGCGGTGGCAGCAGTGCTGGCAGTCCTTCGCTCTTTGGCGGCAGTGCTGCTGGTGGATCCTCAATTTTTGGTGGCTCTGGCAACAACACGCAAAGTCCTACGGCCGCAGCGCCCTCTGGACCCATCTTTGGACAGAGTTTGTTTGGTCAGACGGCTGCCTCTGGGGGCGGAAATGTTTTTGGCAACGCCAACTCTGCCCAGACTCAGCCATCGGCCTTTGGTGGAGGCGGCTCAATTTTCGGTGGCGCTGCCAGTACAACCTCGCCAGTTTCCTCTGGAGGTTCCATCTTTGGGGGTGGCAGCAGCTCTGGTGGTTTTGGCAGCTTCAGCCAAACAACACCCACGCCTGGCGCTTTTGGCGGTGGCGGCGTGTTCGGCCAGAGCGGTGGCACCTCGGTGGCCCAATCCGGGTTCGGCTCGCCTCAACAGCAAACCCAACCGCCGACTGTTGCCTTTGGAGCCAAACCAGTGTTTGGCGGGAGTCCTGCCTTTGGTGCAAGCCCCACATTTGGTGGCGCTCCCACATTTGGTAGTCCCAAAGGTTTCGGCACGTTTGGAACCAGTTCCGGAATCGTAGCTCCTGCAGCTTTTGGTGCTCCAGCTAAGCCGCCAGAGGGTAATATCTTTGAAACGCTCGGTGGTACCGACACAGGTCTGTCCTTTGGCAACTTGGCCCAAACAAGTAACCCGAATAACCAAAAGCCCAGCTATGGCGGGTAAGTGATCTCTCTTCCTCCGAATTGGGAATCTGACTCATCATTTCTGATATTATTTCACAGCTCCTCCTTCATGACGTATCGATGAATTGCTTCCTTTGTACGATGAGTGTGAATTGAATTGAATAAATTTTGATCATATATGTATTTGTAAGCATAAGCATAAGTGACTCTTTTAATTTTCAATGGCGATAGTCCGTCACCGTGGTATTTCAACGGAATTTCAATAAAAGCAAAAACCGTGGCTATTGTTAACCCAAATTTAGTGTTGCCTAGTTGGCAAACTCATGAGAAAGTACAATTTGGAACAATCTCGAATACAAATTTACACCTTAAGCACTCTGAAAATTTCGTGAGCTAATATAGAAACAAACACTATCCCAGCGAGAACAATTACGTGTACGCCACTTCTGCAGGACCCAGGATCTTGGTGAAATGCCTTTGAACTTAATTAACTAAATGTCGCAACAATACTGTACTGGCACCCAGAAGGACATAACCACGACTACGAACGAAGTGTTAGACAACGGAAACTCAAGCGCGCCATTTTAGTTAGCTTTGTTGTTTATTGGCGTCTGTATAATTGTCATTGTAGCAGAGAAAGCCCAAAGTCACGACTCGTCGTATGCGACTACGATCGAAGGGAAAAAGGTGCGCTTTTGCAATACAATCGCTCACTGCGAAAAAATGAATATAATTTGCGTAACGTAAATTGATCTCGTAGCAAATATAATAAATTTTAATGGAAAACAAGTAAGAAGGCTCTAGTCGAGACTGCTCGACTAGGAGATACCCTGAACCCTCCAAGCTGATATTCTTATCATTCTGCACTTCTTTTATGCACGCACACACGCGCCCGCGCTTTGCTAACTGCGCAGTAAGCAGCGACTGCGCTTGAGCTGCGCTGCAGTGTGGGCAATAGTGTGAGAATTTACTAGAATAACTTCTTTTGTAAACAGACGATAATTCTAGTACTTGAAATACGTTTTTTGCAAATTGGGGGCGGTTCAGGGTATAACAAGTAAGAAAGCTGTAGTCGAGACTGCTCGACTACGAGATCCCCTGAATCCTTCGAGCAACTGATATTTCAATAACTATTCGCACATGCACACACACGGCTTACTATGGGAACTTAATTGCCTAATAACTTTTCTTGTGTATCTTCATGAAATTTTCAGGTTATGATTAAAATATAGATACATATGTATGCATTTGCAAAAGCACAAGTCCTTTGTATATGAAATACAGTAGCTCACAGATTTTTTCGTGTAGCGGTATAGTAGGATTTTAAAGCCGTATTTTCGCTAAATTAGTAAAGATATCCAAAAAATTTAAATTGGGTCTTATTTATCAGTCATTCATTATATTTTAACACACTTCATACTTTTTCTGTTCTAAAACATAACATTTAAAACTAAAGAAAACTAAAATAACTCGATGTTTCCATGTCACAGCTTATTTCACTTTCAAAGACTTTACTGTCCGAGAATTCTTAAATTGGGATTTGACCTCCTCTTTAAAGTGTGATTCCATCTAGTTAAACAATTTTCGGGCGACTTCGCTGGAAATTTTCGGCTATTCCTCCAATAGGGCCGTTTTGAGTTTTTTTTTTTTTATATTGACCTATTCCGAATGGTTACGCCCAATTTTGCCCACAAATTTTCCTTAACGTTCAGGTATGACCACTGGGCTAGTGGATTGACCACATTTAGACAGTTTCAGATCAACCAGGAGTGGACAATACCCAGTTTTTTTGGTATTTTGGAGCAAATTCTCCTTTAAAAAGTATAGATACATATATAGGTTTATATTACGATCAATGAAAACTGCCTAGCTCATAGTTGGTTTTAGGTGCTGATCTTGGAGCTCCTTCTGCCTGTTATATACTTTTAACAAAACCATTATAGCCATTATAAATATAAGTATAAAACAAATCAGAAAAATCTGCACGGTCTTGTTGAACATATTTATCATTTTTATTATCTAATAAATATTACACACGGAAATCAAAGCATTCGTTATGCCTATTATGGTATGTCAAAAATTTTAGATCCCATTTTGAACTTTGTAAGTTGAATTTAGTCATCAATTTCCTTAGGGCTCTAGGCTAGCCAGAAAAACAATTATAGTTTTATAATAATAATAAAAACGGAACTGAAGTCAACGTTTAGCAACAGCTATTACACATTTAATTCTCGATTGGTTACACATATACAATAATATGCATATAATTAGTGCGCGTAGTTATACATTAATAAAAATATATATTTAGTAAATATTCATACATGGATATATGTATATATATATAGCATGTTAGGACAGAACTAAACAAAAACGTTGACGAAATAAAGGCGAACGCGAACGCTTACAAATAGTATATGTCGTATATAGCATATGTATAAATAGTGAAAAATAGACAAAAACATTTTACATACATGTAGTATACATATATAGATTAGTATAAATAATTATGCATATATATTTATATATAAAGGTTTAGATTTAGATTTAGGTGTAGGTTCTATAAATGCAATTCGTAATTTGTTTTTCTTTTTATACTTTATAATATTTAATTAGGTCTAACTTAGGTTGGTAATTGTTAATTGTTAGAGATTTACATGCGACTACCCAGCTTAGATGTTTGTTATCCGATTTATGTTTAGGATTTTCTTTACTTTCTTTTAGTTTGCTTGCTTTTCATTTATTAAATACGTTTAGCACACATTTAGTTACTGTTAACATTATTATTATTATTACTGTTTTATTATTATTATTATTATTCCATTTCTATTATTATTTAAACTAATTCTACAAAAACACTGCGCAACAATTGTTGAAAATTCGTAAGCTTTTTGTTCTTGATTTTCTTTTCATTTCATTTGTTTGCCTTTTGTTGTTGTTCGTTTTTCCGTTTCTTTGTTTTTTTGTTGAGCAACTTACTAACTTAAAAAGAATTTTTACTCTTTTCTTTGAGTGTACGGAGCGTTTAAAACGACCGTTAGCTGATTTTGAAGTTTTCGTATTATCGTTTCTTTGTTTTGATCTTTAGCGTTATCTTTGTCATTTTGGTTCTTTAAACAACTGTATTCTATCTACAAAAGGAAACTGTTGCTACAATTCGATTCTCTTTGACAGTACGTTGGCGGGGGAATGTTCTTATATGTCATATTTTTCTCCTTTTTCTGAATTTTTTTTTTTCGGGCGGGACAGTTTTTTGTGGCGGTGTGCGTTGGCGGTGTGGGCGTGGCACATGCAATGACTTGCTTAAAGCTTGTACACTCAACCATGTAAATGTGTGTGTGACTGTATTTAAAATTGATATAAACGGGAAAACAGGTTTCGAAATACGAAAAAAAGTTCAGGGAAAAGTGAGGAAATTTTAAATATCCTTAGATTTTTGGCAGGGGCTACAGTTGCGTTCATATACATATAGTCGTATATTTTTCAGTTAATGTGTGCTTTTATATGTACATCGCCTGGGTAGCTTGCTAGTAAGTATATAAAGATAGTATATATATATATATATATATATATATATATATATATATATATTGGAAAATGCAAAAGCAGGGACGCTCCTAGGGACATAACATAGAGTTTGCATTAACATTTAATTTTATATCTGTATGTATGTGTGTATATAGAGAGTAGAAGTGGAAAACTTGAAGATAAAACAATATAAATAATGTTAACACAATTTTAAATTGTTAATGTGACGACGAGAGTCGGTGTCAATGTAATCTGAGCTGTTAGCAGTAACAGTTTACAGTAACAGTCATTTAACTGTGAATAATGACTTTAACAGCCTTACGTAAAAAGGAAAGAATACTAGATGTTATTGACACTAACCGAAAAATGCTGTTAATGAGTTATCATTATATAACAAGTTTGTCAACAATATTCATAGTTTAAAGAAAGTTGAGGAATTTTGATCTAAAACGGACGACAGTTTTCCAGCTCTACCTAATATAGAGTATATATGTGTATATATGAATATAAATATGGCATATGATATATGTATATATATATGTATGTTTTTGGAGGCAATATAGAGTGAGCGCAGTAGTTGTAGTATTAAAGGGGGAAAAGTTTTGCCTCCTATGCTAGTAGTCAGAGTGGGTTAGTGGAGTAGATTTGAGCAAAGAAGGCGACATGCTGATGATAATATTGATAATGATGATGATAATGATGACGATGAATCTATTCGTGTTACTGATGAGCCCTGTGCTTCTCGAGGATTTGGGTTCCGGTTGGGTTCGTTAAGGTATTCGAAGCCGATCGAATACCTATTGTTGTACTACCAGTGCATCAGACGCAGCTGATCGAGAATGCGCTGCTTAAAGAAGGTGCCCAGCATTCCAAAGACTGTGGATACGGCAGCGATGCCCATCATGACCTGCATGACGCAATGAATGCCGGACAGTTCCTCGTCCGTTTGCCGGTGGCGATGCCGCGTTCGATGATGACGTCGGCTGCCCAGCCCACTGCTCTCGTGCAGCCGCTGCAGACTCTCCATGTCCTCATCGAATTGCGGTATTATGGCCAAGTTGATGACCTCCGTTTTGGACAGCAGCTGTTCATTGGCAATTGTGTGAGCTTCGGTGGCGCCTTTGCTGGTGGCTTCATTGTGCTCTCGCTCCCGCTCTCGCTGCCGCTCCAGCTCACGCACGCGCGATCTCTCGTCTAGCATGGTATTATCTAGACTGAAGTCAAAGTCACGCCCTGTGGGCAGTTGGCCCAGCGGTGGCGGCGACTGCTGCTTGGATGTGGGATATTCGGCCAGATTGACTTTGGTGAGGAAATGTAGGTTGCTGCTCGGCTTGTGCTCGCCCTGTCGTGCGGGCTGAGCAAGTAGAGACCGGGGAGTTGCGTCAGTGACGCCCAGCATTGGCAATTGGTCGCGCACACGCGTCTCCTGGAACTGATTTTTCTTGATGCCCAGAACCTCGGACAAGGGTCGATTGATCATGGGGAGCAGTGAATCAGAGGTGGGTCGTATTATGAAGCTGCCACCGTTTGGCGCATGGGCCGACGGTTCCAGTATTTCGGGCTGCATATGCTTGGGTGTCACAGCTGAGCCAGAGGCCGGAACTGGTCTGTCTCCAGCGCTTTCATCCTCGCTGTCCGTGTAGACCGAATCGTCAGAGGAGTCGTCCGAAGAATCATCACTGTTCGCTTTGGCCTGCTCGGATGCTGATTTGGCAGAGCTAGAGCTGGTGAACTTATGCGTCAGATTGCGTATGGGCTCGTACTTGGAGCTCTCCGAATCACCACGATAAAGCAGCGCCACCTTGCCATCGGGTGTTAGAACGGGCGTTATTTTTGGATGTGGCGACGGAAAACGATGACTGCTCTCCGGATCCGGTGACAAGGCATCGAAGTCTGTGAACTGTGTCGCTGGCTTCTGCTGTGCCTGCTCCTCTAGCTGCTTGTTCGCATCTAGCTGATGCTGCTGCTGATCCCCATCGGCATTGGTGGGCGTCTGCTGATAGACAATGCCCACCTTGCCCAGGGGCGTGGATATAATTTTGATCGCGTCATTACTATTCTTGCGGAAATAATGATTCGAGCCGGAGTTGCTTTTCGAGCGTTGCGACCCAAAGAAGCCAGCGCTGTCGCCATTGTCAGGGTATTCATCATCGACACCGTCATCGTTATCCTCGCCATCCTCATCATCGTTAGCAAAATGGCCGCTGCTCTCGCGCAGATCAATCGCAGTGCTCGGCACGGCCACCGCTATAGCCGGCTCCTGCTGCTGACTCTCCGTGAGCAGCTTTTTCCGAATATTCTCCAGGTGCAGTTGCCTGTAGCTGTTGTTTGGCCTGAAGCGTGACTTGTAGCCGGCGCCGGCGCCGGCGCCGCTGCCCTCCTCATTCAAGAAATGCTCCTCGTCGGCACGCGGACGCGTTGTGCGAGGTCGCTCCAAGGCTAGACGCTCATCGTCCTCGTCATAACCCATGTCTTCTTCTTCGTCGCTCGGCTGCGGCTGCTGTTGGGCAGCTTCTGAGATAAGACTCTTGGGATCTGGCAACTGCTCCGGCTCTTCATCATACTCATCATCATTATCTTCATCATCGGCATCCTCATCTTCATCGTCATCATCTGCAAATAAGCTCGTCACGTCGTCATCATCATTGTCGTCTACGTCCTCGCCGTGGAGGTCCGCTTGCATGCGTTCCGTGTCCGCTTCAATGTCCTCCATGGCATAGTCATCCTCGCCATACATCGCAGCCGAAGCCGCCTCCTTTTTCTCGTCAGCATCAGCCACGCCCAGCTGCTGCTGCCCCGTGCCATTAAATCTACTGCTATGCGGCTTAAGACTAAGGCTAATACTACTGCTACTGCTACTGATACTATTTCTACTACTGTTATCATCATTATCAAAGTTACTGTTATTATTGTTGTTACTCATATTATAAGTTAAGTTTAATTGTGTTCCTAAACTAACATCTAAGCTGCTATTGCTTCGTATAAGCAATGGGGTAGTCGCATCTTTCAGTCAGTAGCATTTCTTGGTGCACCCGCACTTGCGCACAATATCCAAGTTCTTGATATATTTGCGGTTGTTGCTGCATACCATGCGCACCTGTTGAAATAAGAAAGAAAAGTTAACCAGGCGAGTGCAATATAATTGATTCCGTTCATACCTATATAACACTGGACAATATACATATGAAAGGTTTTATGAATACAATTAAGTGAATACAATTAATTGGCCTTCAACTTTACTCTGTTCTGATTTCCAAGGTCCTATTATAGCTTACGCCAAGTACTTGTAGTATATTACAATAATAATAAATAAAATCAATGGAATTTAATAATAACTACATTTTTATACCCTGAACCCATTGAAAATGGGAAATCAGGGTATAATGGTTT